GGGTGTGTTGGACTACAGGGGATTCCGGCGACTTAGCCATTATGCCAGCTGCTGGTCCCCCCACTCCTGTTTTTAAGTATGAAAGTGTCAGCTGTTTGGAAGTTACCATCGACCTGTGGACCAAAGTGTGTGTGATTCTCAGCTGTTGGGGTGCCTGCCCTCGCACTGAATGGAGTTTGCCGCTGAGTGAAACGGGTCTGGAAGATGGAGGTGGCGCGGGTCTCCAGCTGCTTGAAGGCCCAATAGAAGCTCTGGGTTTTTCCTGGAAAAAGATGCACATGAACCCAGAGCTTTGCATGTGTGTGCGTGTGCGCACGTGTACATATAACCAGTTACACACAGAGGAACATACTAAACCAACCTGAAGCTGCTCCCTGTACTGGCGAGCTCTGCTGTGAGTACGGTAGAGTATTAAACCGTCTAATTTACTGGGTCGTCAGAAAAGCGACGATGCATTTTTGCAAAGAAAAACAGAAAAATACATCATGCCTTTTCCGATGACCCAATAACAATCTGAGTTTTTTCCTGCTGGGAGCTCAGATGTGCATTAGAAGGTAGGGAAGTTAGAATTGAAGTAAGACGTGCTGAATAATTTCAGATTCTGTTCTTTGCACAAGCAGCCCCATCCTTTCACACTGAGACAAAAGTAGATGTGAAAAATGACCCAGGGGTGCTTCAAAAAGATTTGTGGAAAAATAGAATTAACAAACAAGCTTACAATGGTGCAAAAATTTTTTGAAATTTATACGTAATTTTTGTAATAATACACATTTTCCATGGACTTTTTAGACAACTCCTGTGTATTTTCCTGCTTGTTCTAACAATATGGTTAATGTTTAAAAGGGTAAATCATTTTTTTAACCAGTTACCTAGTTATTTTTACGTGTTTTTATGCGTGTAATTTTAGGTGTTGGCTTTCACTTTAGAAACCATTAACCTTCCCATATCCATGAGTCTTCGTGGTGGTTTTACATTAAAACCAACTAGATTAGAACTCGAGTTCATGTGAAGCGAAAGACGTCACCAGAATGAGCATTAATGATCACTCCCTTCTGTGAAATACTTGCACCTCTAAAAATGTAACTTCTTTATTAAATAAGTTCATTGGTTTCTTTTATGTGAGAGTGACAGTGTCCCCATGCATGACCCTCCACCAGCGTCGGCCAGCCAGGATCACAGGCACATGGCCCTGTGTGTACAGGGACACCCCAAGACGTGGACGGGGCCTTCCCATGTGGTCTCAGCCCTGTAGAGCATGGTGCTCCCGCTGCCCCACAGCCGGCCCAAATCTTAAATGTGGGGTTCCGGAGACGAGGCCTGTTAGCAAGGGCTGTGCTTTGGGCTAAGTGAGCCCCGAGTCCAGTTCTGTGACCACCTGCCAGTCCTCTCCCAGCGTTTTCCTCTCCATTTCTCTGTGGCCCTGATTCCTAGGTGTGATTGTTTGCTAGCCTGCCGTGACAAAATGCCACAGACTGACTGACTTGAACGACTTCAGTGCATTTTGTCACAGTGCTGGAGGCTGGAAGTCCGGGATCAGGGCGTGGGCGGGGTTGGTTTCTGCCTGCAGATGAAGCCCTCTCGGTGTTTCGTGCGTGGACTCTGGGTGCACGCGTCTGTCTCTATCTAATCCTCTCTTGTCTCTTTCTTTCGTGGTGGGAGAGACAGAGACAGCACCCCCAACCGAGTCTTGGTGCCATGACCCAGCCTCAACGAGCCCCAGATCCTGGGCATGAGCATGCCGCTGTGCTCAGGGAGGTCTCCACGTGGGATGGCCTTGCTGAGCCTCCTGTTACCGCTGTGACACAGTCTGGGCCCAGCCCTCTTTTCTTAGAAGGACCAGTCTCTGGGATGAGGACCCACCCGAATGGCCTCATTTTAATTTAATTACCTCTTTAATGACAGCTTCTCAAATACAGTTAGTTCTGAGGAACTGGGGTTGGGCTTCGGCCTGTGCATTTGGGGGAGACATAACACAGTACTCCCTCAACACCAGGGAGTACGAATTTTCTTCCAGGGAGTCGGGGCAGGTAAGGTGAGCTCGGGGGAGAGGCAAAACCTGTGGTTCTGCTCTCATTTCTGCCTCTGCAGATACTGGGCTAACCTGAAGTTATGGTTTAAGCAGAAGATCAGCAAAGAAGAGTTTGACCTTGAAGCTCACAGACTTCTTACACAGGACAATGGTAAACCGATGACCGGGACTTATTTTCCTGTCCTCAAGTTTCCCCAGATTTGCAATACGTTAAACTCTTTGTACTGTTTGGAAAGTGAAAATTTGGGTTTCAGCGATGTAAAGTTGTGTTCATAATGTGGATATTTAAAGAGTGGCAGAGTAGGGGACAGAGGGACCATCCACACCCCTGCAAACCGAAGTCGTGGTCGCCTCGTGTGCAAGTGCTGGCTCTGACTGTGACGTCTTCCCTTTTTCAGTCCATTCTCACAACGACTTCCTCCTGGCCATTCTGACGCGCTGTCAGATCTTGGTTTCTACACCAGGTGAGTGGGAATCCTGCTAGTGCGTGTCACTCTGCAAAGCCAGGGAGCGAGGCTTGGCTTCCCTAACAGACAGTGGGTGTTTGCATACGACATGTTCTTTGAACTGCTCAGGAGAAACATTTCATTAGGAGGTACAAATTCTTTTACAGAACCGTTTTACAACATAGATGAATTCCTTCTTACGCGATGGGACTTCCAAAAGGTTGTGGAAAATGGAATGTGTGTTAAAGGAAAAATAAACCAGTGAATTTAATAGAATAGAGGGTTTTTTTGTTTGTTTTTTGTTTTTTTGAGAGGTTTTTGCTATAGGGCCCGTGTGCTCACCAGAAAGACAGGAAGAACAGAGAAAGCGAGAAATCGCCCCCCCCAGGGGGAAATGGCCACACCGCAATCCCTTCTCCTCCATTCTCCTCTCAGGATCTTGGGCACGCACGCACACGTGCCCGGCATGAGTTTAAGCCACCGGGTCCGGGAGTCAAAGCATGGTCAACTACATGGGAGTCCAGCAACATAGCCATTACGCCAACTGCTGGTCCCTAGTATAGAGTTTTAATAGAGCAACTCCGAACATGGTTTAAATTGGGCCGTTGTCCCCAGACTTTTGGATAACTCATGGCAACTCGGCATTGAACTTGGCAGAGCAGGAAAGTGCGGAAAAAACGTAAGTGAGGGAGTGAAGTAGAGAAATTATTGTTACATTTTGAAGTGTATCTGCATTAACATGGTTTATAGGGTGTGATGCCTGACTGAAGCCTAGCTACTCTGATTGGCTGTAACCTAGCAACCAGCACAGAAAAACAGCCTAACATGTAGGATTTGGGCTTATCCATAGGAGTCAGAGCGTGGGAGTACAGCGGCTGCCTTAGGCCAAAATAGGTTAACTTAACAATCCTCCCGTTTTGGTCAGGCTCTCAAATATTTGAGAGATTGGCCAAAACTTGGGGCATTTGTGCTCCTCTCGGTCACCATTATAAATGATGTGTTTTTTTGCTTTCAGCGTAGAATTCAGAAGGGATTTTTTTTGGTCTTTAGCATGGAATTTACAGGTCTCGATATTACACAAGTCGAACCTGATCTCATGCAGGTCAAACACGTCTCTTTTGCGCTTTTATGGATCTGGCTGAAATGACCATTTAGCATTTGATGGATGGCTGCTTATGACACTTTTAACTGGAGCGGACAGAGTGCGCCGGGAGGACCAGAGTGACACTGAGGTGTGCCCCTCAGCAAACGTTCCTGTGAGACAAGCCCATGGGAGTTCACACAGGGTCAGGGTCGGGCCTCAGGGTCGGTTTAACAGTATTTGAGCCTAGTTGTCTGGAGTGTGATGATACTCGAGGACCGCAGTTCTTCGTAAGGTGGTCTGATGAAGACGGTCCTTTGTTGTTGGTCTAGTAAGACAAGTCATAACAGCGTGGAGGCCTACTAAAAAATACAAAGCTTCAGCACCCCTGAAAAGCCCAAACCTGCCATTTAGGACACCTGTAACCTGATTATCAGTTGTACCTGGAAGCACATCACCTTTCTGTATCCTTTTTTTTTCCCTTATTTTTATTTATTTTTTGGAGAGGTCTTTGCCGTAGGGCGCGTGCGCTCGCCAGAGAGACAGAGAGACAGAAAGTGAGAAATCCCCCCCCAGGGGGGATGGCCATGCCGCAGTCCCTTCTCCTCCATTCTCCTCTCGGGATCTTGGGCACGCACGCACATGCACCCGGCGTGAGTGTAAGCCACTGGCTCTAGGACTTGACCCGCGGTCGACTACATTGGAGTCCAGTGACATAGCCATTACGCCCACTGCTGGTCCCCATCTGTTCTGTATTCTCGGAAGACTCTTTTAGTATACGTGGTGGCCGAGTCTAAGGAAGCAGCAGTATCAGCCACTTCTTTAACGAAACCTTTTTTGGTACTAAAGTCAGGAGAGTGGTAGGTACACTGTTCAGTTTAGTTTAGTATTAAAATAAGCCCCAAACTTGAAAAAAAGGACATCTAAAGCCGGACGATATTTTATTAATGTTTTCTTAAACTTGTATGTTAATCATTCACCTTTTGGAGGATGGCTTTTACCCACCCGTACCTCCAGGACGTCATATTGAATATAACTTGAAGATTTTCTCCAGTTCATGGATAAGCTTTAAATACAGCCAATATCTCAATATCACCAAAAGTAAATATTCCGAAATCTTTTCCACATTAGTCTCTAAACTTAACAACTGCTCTGGCTTTGTGTTCGGACAAAAATTTAAATTAAAGTTAGCCACTGATTATGGCCCCATGGATTCCCTGTGGGGAAGAGGAAAGAATGAAGACAATAGGAATTGAGATTTAAAAAAACGAACCGACTTAAAGTTTCCATGATGGCAGAGAAGCCTTGATCCGTGATTCTGGGGCATAGCTGCCCATGCGCAAGAGGTCTGTTTCAGAAGAAAGTTTTTTGGTCAGTTTTACCATAAAGTCTTCAACAGATGCACAGTTTTGAACATCTAAAGTAGCTCCTCAGAGTTGTGAACGCAGAGTTCTCTGCTGCCGTGAGGGTGGTGAGAACTTGGTGCGATGTCTTCCAGCAGGGCCCACAGGCAGCCCTTCCGTCTTAGCCTTTTCAGAAGACCCCTCCTGTGGGCCGCGGATTGATCGTCTTCACCCAGAGAATTACACACAGCATTTTTTATCTGATGAACAAATTCTTCGGCATAATGCATCCGAGCCTGGCAGAGTTTAGCTGCCTCAGGTCTGTGTACAAAGGTCTCATGAGAGAAACACATTTTCTCGTAACCTTTTGACTACTGTTAGAACATTCCTGTCCTTTAGGGAAGAGTCTCTACACAACTAAAAATATGTAATGAAAATGACAATGCGTGACATTACTTTATAATATGTAAACAGTATATCAGATAGCAGAAATGTACCTGCAGTTTTTTCCTGGCTTTTCAATAGCAGGTTGACGAACTGAACACTGGCTAGAAGAAGTTGTAGCAGTTTTAGAGCAGTTACTATACCATACTACCATATACATGATCCATTCTTAAAAATCTGGATCATTTTCTCTATTTTGTGAGTCATGGAGTATAGAGGCTTTATTTATTTATTTATTTATTTATTTATTTATTTATAGGTTTTTGCTATAGGGCGCGTGCGCTCACCAGAAAGACAGAGAGAAACAGAGAGACAGAAAGTGAGAAATCATCCCCTGGGGGGATGGCCATGCCACAGTCCCTTCTCCTCTTGGGATCTTTTT